ATTTTGGGTAAAACTATGTTATTGTGTTCCCATGAGCCATGACCTGACAAGGACACCTAAACACAACTTCCCAGTGACCGCGAATCCGCGCAACAAAAAGCAAAAGATCTTCTCGAAGACCGGGGAAACCCGTCTGCTTCTTGAAGACATTTTTTTTTACCCAGGAAGTTAGTAAAATTTCAGACAAATTAAAGGAACCTTCGCAGTTGCTTGACAAAAGAGTGGGGTTTATAAACCAGCAAATGAGCACGTGTTCTTTTCTTCTTCTGGGAAAATGTATTACGTCCATAGAAGTTCCCCCTTTGTCACAATTTTTCATTCTTAACTGGATAAAGATAACCTCAAATCGTCTATTATTATTATTAATAATAATGATAATAATATTAATAAGCCAAGTAAAGACTATTTGGCTTATGTGGTCATTTTGAAGTACTGTGCCACCGTGCAGAACAGAGTGGCAATGCCGCCGCTTCGGTAAATCCGCGCACGACACGAAGGGAAACGTCCCCGTGGCTTTTCGGCGGTGCCTTCAGGGCTCCCCCCGCCGCCACCCCCCCTGCCGCCGCCCAAGGCAAGTCCCAAACACGACCTGTCCCTTGCTTTCGCTCCCTGAACAGAGGAGCCCGGCACAAACCCCGCCACCGAGTTCTGGCTCTGCCGACAGCCGGCAGGACCACAGTCCCTCCCTCCCCTTCCAGCCTACCCAGCTTTATTCGTACAGTTTGCAAATCTGTATTATTCCCGCACAAGCCAAAAATAATATTAGTCCTCTCCACGCGCATTTCATCCCTAATTATCACTCGAGTCCTTTGCGACACAAAGCGTTTCTCTGGCCAGTTTAAGCGCGGCGCAGATCCGTGTGCAAAGTGATTTACCCCGAGCCGGGAGACCAGCAGCGGGGGTTTCGCTGTCGGACGGCTCTAGCGGGGAGCGGATCACCGCTGCTGCGCGGGGTCCTCAGAGCGCCGGAGCCGACAGCCAGGGTCGGGCTCTGAGGCAGCGGGCAGAGGTGCTTTTCAGAGCCGTCACAGCCTGCTGGATTTGCTTTCCCCACAGATCAATTTAGGGAACATCGCCGAACCCGCGCCCCCGCCCCGAGCAGCGGCTCCTGTCCCGTGAGCGCTCCCCCAGCGCCGGCCCCGGCCTGGCCGCCCCTCTGCCCGGCCGCCGGCGCCCCTCGCAAGCTGATACCCTCCAGACCCGGAGAGCTGAAAATCAGACCCGTCTTTTCCTTTTCACTCGTTGTATGGTTTTCTGCCCTTCTTGTTCGGTGTGGAAGCACTGTTTTACTTGTCAATCGGCCGTGCACAAAAAGGTTGCGTGTGGCCTTCCTAGCTCCCATGATTCTTTTCTTTTTTCCTTCCATTTTTTTTAATAAAGAAAGAAATGTTAAAAAACCGATGAGCATTTAAACTTTATTATTATTATTATTATTACTACTACGACTACTATCTGTGTCGCTACTCTGGCGGGAAGGACACTGTTCACCATATCTGGGGCTATTTGCACCCCTCTGTAGACCTCAGGTAGTCCTTGCGGGTCGCCTTCTGATCCCCTTTCTGTCTCTCCCAGCGCCGAGCCACTGCTGCGGGAGAGATTTCCCTGGCTAGTTTCTGTTTCAGCGGAGGATGGGTTGCTGGCTGCCATCCGTGTCCTTCGGGAGCTCAAGCCGTGGCCTCTTTACTACCGAGTCAGACTTTAGGCAAGAAGCCATAGGCGCACCTGAGAACCACAAAATGGCTTAACCTGCAGCTCTGCAGCCACCACTCCCCACTCTAATTTTTTTCGAGGATCACGCTGACTATCGCCAGCATCACTTGGGATGCCAAACGCCTCTGTCGGCTCCTCAATGGGGCAGCAGTCTGGGGAAACACCGGAGAAAGAGCCGGGGATGGTTCTTCGGTCACCCCAAGGGCCTCGGACCGAGGAGCCAAACCCCTCATCCTCTGCCAGGGTTTTCCTCTGTGGGCCGTAGGACCTGCCTAGGAGGGAGCCAGGGAGGTGTCTGCGGCTGAGGGTGGAGGAGGGCAGCCCTCGTCCCTGGCCTGCCCCAGTCACCGCCACAGCTCCTCCCGGGCCGGCCCGGCCGTGAACTCGCCCTCTCTCTCGGCTCCGTCCCTCCCTTAAAAAAAACAACGAACAAAACCCCAAACAAAACAAAAATCCCACACCACAAATATTAAACGTGTTCTAGGAAAATGGGAAGCCCCACCTGCGGGTAAGAGTCCGCCCTGTCCCATTGTCCCTCGGCAAGGAGCGGGCCAGCCTCAGTGCGGGGCAGCGCGGCTGCCCGGGCGCGGAGCGGAGCGGGTCCCGCAGGCGGCAGCCCCAGCGGGGCCGGGAGCCCCCGGGCAGAGCCTGCCGGCCCACCGGAGCCTCTGCTGGCCCCCGGAGGAGGGTGTGCCGCCTGTCCCGGAGCGGTGCGGTGTCCTGGCACTGACCGCCGCGACACTCGCTTGGGAAACGCGTCATTTGCTCCCTGGTTCACCTTGCTCCCCGGTTAATCACGCTGTTTCCCGCAGCAGCGGACAACGCGAAGGAAAAGTCACTTTCTTGAGGCTTTCAGAAAGTTGGGAGAGGTAATATCCTTAATTATGTGGCCGGGATAAAAAGACCTGCCCTTTATTTTTCCCATCACCTCGGGAATAGCCAGGCTACTCGATGGAGACACTAGTGGCAGCGCCCTGGATCTCCAGAGTCCGCGGGGTGTGGCTTTCCAGCACCCCTGTCTTTGTCTTCGGAGCCTTTCCAGAGGAGCGGCTGCCCCGGTGGTTTGGTGCTGCAGACCCGGGGGAGCCGCTGGAGAAGCGGCCGGGATTCCCCGCGGCCCGGCCCGGGGCCGCCTCGGGGCTCGTCGCCGTCCCACTGACAGGAGCAGCGGAGCGGAAAAAAGCCTGCCAAGGCCTGCCGGGGAGAGGCCCTTAACCTCGGGCCACCTTTGGCCCCTGCTCCCGGGAGCCCCTGGGAGGCTGGGCAGGTGCTGCACTGCCGGGGGGGCTGCCTGTGCCCGGGGATCTTCTGCTGCTTCTCCTCCTCCCGGGAAAGTGTCGCTGATTTCTACCTGAATATGTGTGTGTGTGTGTGTGTGTGTGTGCAGAGAGGGGGGCAAATCAACGTGGTTTCCTGTTTTATTACCCTGCGAGCGAGCGGGAGGTAGCTAAATATAGGCAGCCTCCCGGCTGCAGAGCTGGACTCTGCGCCTGTGCGACTGTTTAATACACAAACACAAGCGCCAATGGAGACATATGCAAAGATATACACAATTTACATTACATTTCAACAATCGAATTTCTTGGAGCTGCGGTATTTCCCCCCTCTCCCCCTTGTCTTTGCAAGAATTTTTTTTTTAAGACTACAGCTTGCCCACGGTCTGATGGAAAATGATTCCCACGGCCCCTGTACGGTTCAGGGTTTGTGAGAGAGACCGAAATTGGGACACATCGTTAGGGAGATTATTTTACGTAGCAGCCGTGTATGTGCTGATGAGCTGAATGTGTGTCTGAGGGTGTGTGAAGAGAGCATGTTAGAGCCCAGGTTCTGCTGATAATTTAAGAGCCGAAAATACGGAGTAATTCCTTTGGCCTCAGTACAGTTACATGCGCGTTACTGGAGATTTTGCCATTAAGAAAATATAAAGGACGCAGAGAGTTTGCTTTATATTTCAAAAATCAAAATTATTAAGAAAAAACAGGAGTAGAAATGCCACAAATTCCAGAAAAATTCCATTAAATTATCGATTAAATTTTCCCAGTATCACATACTGACGTTTCTCAACTATTGGATTTTGACAACATCAAAAAAGGACACTGTCGATGCATAAATGTTCTGTATTAAACACCAATACTAAAATTCCAGGCAACTTTATTCAGATCAGCTTTTCCAGCAACTTCTATCTCGAGTAAAATGCATGTTAGTTTTACCTGGTTCATAGGAAATTAGTTTGACACTTTCTTCTGAGTCTGTTACCCAGTGTTACAACCCAAGGAATCTCTAATAGCAGTCACTTCCCTTTTATATCAGGAGATTCCCTAGAGCACTACATTTGTTAGTAAGCACAAATCAAAATAATACAACACAATGACCAAAGGGGGAAAAAAAATAGGCTTAGAGATAGTCCGCTCCCTCGAACAGAGGGCTCGATAGAACCACAGCCGACTTTGCAGGAAGCCACCCCCGCCGGGGACAAAACCTCTGCTGGTCTGAGCTGTACCTTTCAGTTTGCATCATTGTGCTATATTTCACACAAAATTATCCAAAGCAAGTCAAAACTAATCAACTTCCCTTTATCTGCAGCACTAAAACCTAAAGATGCATCATCCCAGACACATCAGGTAACATCCTCTGCTGTGTAAAACCTACCTCCCAGCAAAGGCTGTGATGAGGAGGCTCTGCAGTCCCCAGACCTCTGCTTTTCTGTTTAGCAGAACCAGACATCCCACACTGTCTGCAGTGGGACAAATAGAGGAGGGATCAAGCTTGGCTGTATCATCGAACCTGAGATGGGAGTCAGCAGCTCGGTGCCTTGTACGGGGCTGCAGGCAGAGAAACGTCCCCAGGGGCCAGGAAAAAGCAAACCGCGGGGCAGCAGTGGCAGCTTTTTACCTCCCTAAGTGCACGGGGGTCCAGATTCTGCTGTCCAAAAGTTTCGTTTTTTACAGGAAGGAAAGTGTTGGGAATGTCGGAGGGAAACAGTTACAAAAAAAAAAAAAAAAAAAAAAAGAAAGAAGAAGAAAGAGACGGGAGCTTCGGATCGGGCCAAATAAATGTCAGTCCTCCGTATCTGCCAAGGGACTGCTGCATCTGGAGCACTCCTTTCGGCAGCAGGACCGCCGACACGCCCGGCAGAGCAAAACCAAACCCAAAGCATTTCCTCCGGTGTCACGACGGCTGTCGGCTTTGTGAACAGAGAGCTCGTCCCCAGCCCGTGCTGGGGAGTACTGCTGGAGGTGCCAGCGCGGGGACATCTCACCTGCGGGGTGCCCGAGCCCGGGCAAAGCGAAATGACAGCAAGGGAGGGCCGGAGCGAGGGGCTGGCAGGGAAACAGCCCGGCTGCATCTTGAGGCGGCTTGCAGGCACAGCGGCCGATGGAGCAGCAGGGGCTTCCTGCGAGCCACTCCGTGCCCAGGAGCCGCAGCGAAAGCCCGTGCGAACCAGCGGGAAAGGAAAGAAGCCGGCGGTGATGAAGAATCAGAGGCGCCCAGGCAATGCGGCCGCCTGTGAGCCTGGTCCGGGCTGGGCTCCTGCGGCGCTGAGAAACAGCTGCAGCCATCACCGGGTCCGGTGCCTCGGAGCGCCACTGCCCGGCCCCGGCCCCCGGGGGAAGCTGCCCACCCCAGGTGAGCCTGCCCTCCCCTTCGGCCAGCGCTGGCCTCGGGGAGACGCCCAAGGACAGCAGCCGACGGCGGGGAAGAGCCGCCGGCACCGCGCCGAGGGCCCGGGCTCTCGAAGGAGGCTTGGAGGAGATTCAGTCCAAGGCGGGAGGCTGCCCCAAGTGGCTATCGCGGCAGTGTCGGGATACAGACGGCCTGGGCAGTTTCGCCGAAGCCCCCTCTTGCAGCCCAATCCTGAGCCTGCGCCCCCGGTGTCTCTGCCAGGCTCCGGCAGGGAGAAAACAACCCACCGAGCCACGCACTCGCCCCAGGATCCGCCAGGGTCTCACCGCGGTAGAGGGGCCGCAGCCTGCACGGTGAGGCTGCCACCGATCGGGAAAAGCAGCTCGAGTGGCCCCTCCGGCTGCACCGCGTCCTCACCGCTACCAGCACCCGTAAATTCAGCCACTGATCCCGGCTCTCCGGCAGATGGGGGATCGCTCCATCTGGGACAGGCGTTACCAAAGAAGTGATTAAGGCGCCCGGCCAGAGCTCCTGGGTCCCCTCTGCCTCCCGTAGAGGGAACGGGCATCAGTGCTGACCGGTGCAGCCGGGAAAGGTGGCCCAGATCTCCGCCAGGCCCTACAGTCCTCACCGTGCGAGTGGGAAAAGGAGGGATGTGGTCAGAGCTACGGCCTGAGGTCTGCTGCGGGGGAAAAAAATCACTGGGGAAATCCGTGTCTGCTCTCAGGAACGACAGAAGAAGCAGAAATAAGTGTTAAACTAAAGTTTATAAATTAAAAAAAAAAAAACCCAAACAAACAACAAAACAAGTACAGCGGGTAGCTTACAAACATTCACAATTCATTTGAAGTAAATAATCTAGTTGAGTGCACAGTGCCATTAAAAGGGAAATGGAGGGGGAAAAAAAAGAAGGGGAAAAAAAGCAACGAGTTACTTTGGAAGAAAGAGACTGTAATTACATTGCTGAGAAGATCAGAAACCCCCACCCCTGGAGGAGAGCTCTGCTGAAGAATTGTAAAAGGCACTGATGGTATTAAAGTTTCTTGTTACATCGATTTCTTAAAAAGCCTGACTAGAAATATTCACATTGAATATAAAAATAACAACAACTTTAATACATCTGGAAAGTGCGAAAAAACTGTAACTCCTCCCTCCCCGAACACGGAAAGATCTTAGGAAATAAAGGAAAACAAGAAGTCAGAGTTTCAATGTAAGTCTCACCCTTTTGTGACATATTTATCCTTTGCCAGGGATCATGGAGTACAGGAATAACATGGGCAACAAGAGCAGGGGGACCTGAAAGAGGCTTCCATACATTCAGCACCATACAAGGCACACTCAGTTTGCAACAAGTTGGAAGACCAAGGACTCAGACGACAAAAATAATCTTCCTTACAATCCACTGAGGGAGTCCTTGATCTCCTCTTTTGAGCTGCATTTGGTTTTGCGGGTTGTACTTTTTTTTTCCTCTCCTTTGTTTTCTCTCTCTTTTTCTCCACACAAGATCGAGTCTCTACCCATCCGAAGCAAAACAAAACAAACAAAAAGTCTACACCAAATACACTGACAACATGGATACCATGAACAAGTTGTGCCGAATCGCAAGAGTCCTCGGCTGGCGGGATGGGGACAGGGTGAGGGTCAGGGTGGGGGTGGCCAAGAAGTCCTATGTTGAAAGAGGAGAGGGTGAGGAACCATTCAAAAATATTAATAATAAAAATAACAATAAAATAATAATAAATACTGTCCGAGGCACTGAGAGCTGCAGCTGGGGCTCTGGACTTGAGAAGCTGAACGGACGGATTGATGGATGGGGGGGTGGCAGAGGGAAGATGTGTTTCCTGGCTGCCAGTGTGTATGCTGGGGGTGTCGGGGCCGGGGGGCTGTGTATGTGTGCCTCTCACTGGGTGCCGGCAGCTGCGGCGCAGGTGGACAGAGCCCACCCGGGAAGGCAGTAGTAGGGGTAGTAGTAGGATGGCTGGAGAGAGAGCAGCGAGGGCGGCCGCAGCACTTCGCCAGGGTGGTACTGTCTCTGGTCGTCGCGCACCAGCACCTTGACGGCCACCTTCTTGGCGGCGGGGGCGGCGGCCAGGAGGTCGGCGGCCATCTGCCGCCGCTTGGTCTTGTAGCGCCGGTTCTGAAACCAGATCTTCACCTGCGTCTCGGTGAGCTTCAGCGAGGCGGCCAGGTCGGCCCGCTCGGGCCCCGACAAGTAGCGCTGGTGATTGAAGCGCCGCTCCAGCTCGAAGACCTGCGCGTGGGAAAAGGCTGCGCGGGAGCGCTTCTTCCGCGGCTTCGGAGCCGCCGCCGCCTCCTCCTCCCCCGGCAGCAGATTCCCGCACTTGCCCGCTCCGTCCTCTTCCTCCGGAGGGCTGCGATCTGCGGGCAGGGCGAGAGCACGGCGGTCAGGGCAGGCAGGCACCGGGACAGCGGCATCCGCGCACAGGCGGCCAGGCGCGCTCCCTGCGGCCGGTCCGCAGCGACAGGGCGAGCGGAGAGCCCGCCGAGCCGGTGCCCGCCCCGTCGCCGGGACAGCCGCCGGCAGCGGCGGGGCTTCTCGCTCTCGTTTAAGCGCCGGGCGCCCTGGCGAGCTGCGGGCTCCGCCGGGCCAAAGGCCCTCCCCGATCCGCCCTCCCTCGCCCCGCGGGACGCCTTTCGGGTTTTCTCTCCCCCCCGGCACAACCGAGCCTGTCGCACAACTCCGGGGAGCCGGCGAGAGTCGCGGTCATCTCCCGTTCCCAGCCCTCCGGGACCCTCCCGCCCTCCTCGCGCGGGTGCGGAGGAGCCGCCACCGGGGCCGCCCCTACCTGAGACGGCGGCCGACATCTCGCTGTCGCTGAGGCCGGTGGTGTCCCGCTCCGCCGCCTCCGGGGGCTGCGCCTCCTCCTCCGCCGGCCGCCCCCCGCCCGTGGCTTCTGCGGGGCGGGCGCTGCCACCGGCGCCCTCCTCCTCGGAGCGCCGCTCGCCCTCGGGGTCCTCGCTGAGCGCGGAGTCCGAGTCCCAGCCCGCCGGCGTCCGCGGGGCCGGGGCGCGGGCGGCGGGCGCGGGCAGCGGCGGGTCCTCGGCGGCGCCGCACAGCCGCCAGCCGCCGGCCGCCCCTGGGAGCGGCGGCCGCCCCGCCGCGTGGCGGGCGCGCTCCTCCTTCTTGTTGAGGATGGCTTGGATGGAAAAAGGCGTCAGGGCGTTGCCGCCGCGGACGGACATGGCCCGGCGACGGGCAAGCCCCGCGGACGAGCAGCGGACCGTGCCGCGCCTTCAGCTGGGCGACCGCATCGCCGGCCGCCGCCGCGCCGGTGCCGGGCCCTGTTCTGCCGCCGGGAGGGCGGGCGCCAGCGGGAGCAGCCTCTCTGCGCCACTGCCGGCCCGCCCGCCCATAGGGCCGGGGCCACCGGGGCCACCGCGCTGCGCCGGGCGCCGCCGCGGGTCCCTGGCGGCACGGGCGCTGCCTCCGCCCCGCTCTGTCCCGCCCCCGCCCGCCCTCCGCTTTTTCTGCCGGCGGCGCTGCCATCCCTCACGGCCGCCCGACAGCGCCGGCCCCGCGCCTTCCCATTGGGCAGCCCCCGCGCGCCCCGCCCGCCCATTGGCTCCCGCCGCGGGCCGATGCGGCTCCGCGGGGCGCGCGCCGGGGCGCGCCGTCCCTTTAACCCCTTGCGGCCCGCGGGGCGCCCCCGCCTCCCCCGGCCGAGGAGACCCTCGAAGGGACGGTCCCTCTCCGTGGCAGAAAGCGGCGGCTTCCACCTGGAGAGCGCGGGATCGTAGTGCAGAGATGTTTTCCCCCTCGCCGCGGCTCAACAGAGCGCCGTAGCCTGGCGCCGGGGAAAGGTTCGGTCCCGACGGGAGAAGTGGCGGGGACGGGACCAACGCCGTGATTTTTTTTTTTTTTTTGCGTTCCGCTGGGGAAAGGCGTCGGAACTCGCCTGTTCCGAGTCTGCCTGGGGCCGACACGCCGTGCCGGTGCGGGGCTGTACGAGCGGCGGGATGAGCGCCCAAGCCCCCGGCCGCCCGCGCTGTCGGGGTGAACGCAAATCAGCCTCGGCCGGTTTTGAAAAATGCGCTTTTCACTATTGCGTTTGTTTAAAAACATGGTTGGGTTTATGTTAAGTACGGTCTTCTGTCCATGGGGCTTATAAAGCCCGTATTAGGAAAGCAATTTCTTGCAGATTAAACTCTTTTCCCTAAACGATGCTTTCCCTAAAAGAAAACGGCCCTACACAGGAAGACTTTGGAAACTATTACACGCACGTGAATTGTATATCTGCGACTCGTTGCCAAAACAACAATCTGCCCCCAAGCACCATGCTTTTCTCTTTTTCAAATATTATTTGCTTTCTCGGAGCTAATAAAAATACCGGCAAGGATATCAAGCAGGTACACGAGAAATGAAACGCCTGCGCTTCACGAACATGGGTGTTTGGTGCTGGCTGAACGCGGCAACATGAGATAAAGCATAGAAAAAAGATACCCGCAAACCCGCTTTGCTCCATGAACTAAATTCTCAGGGTGTCACCGGGCTTCTCCACAGGCGTGTGGCCACGCCAACACCTCCCTGCTTGATCTCACCGAGATGAACGTCGGTTTGCAGTAGACTACGAAGCGACAATAATTGATTTTCAACGACTCTGGCACGAATTAAATGTTTTCAATCATAATTTTTACATCAAAAATAAATCACTAAAATAAATAATCCTACTTTCATACACAGCGCAAAGCTGGAGAGCACCTCTGCATGACTAAGCGGGAACTGTCTCTATCATTCTGAACAAACTCAGACCTTTTTAATAACCCTGCTTGGACTCACCTTTTACCTAATTTTTCCCAGGAAAGCCATCGCTTTGCCACCAAAGACTTCGGTATCACGAGACACTAAAGAAATATCTAAAGGGGAATATTTTTTAAGAGCTGGAGGTAAACGAGAAGCATCTAGGGAAGCTGCGAGAAATCTACTTACGAGAATATACGTAGGGGGACACGTAGGGCGCTAGGAAGGGTGTCCTGCACGAGTGTTTTAAAGGCTCCTTAACAGCCAAGAGATGAAGTTTGGGATGTCAGAAGAGATGAGCGGCCTCAGACGCGGGGACAGAGGAAGGGCTGGAGGTGCGGGTCGTGGGAGATGTGGTTTGGGTTGACGGCCAGAAGGGGGTTCGGGGCACGGCGGAGACGGGGAGCTCCGGCCAGGGTGTCTCTTTTGTCGGGCTCTGCTCAGGTGCGGCAGAGCGCCCGGAGAGAGGCAAAGCGGGTGGCTGCCGGGGGCCGGCGAGCGGCGGGGAGGAGAGCGAGCCTCTCCCGGTGCAGCCTCTCGCCGTGCTCCGGCACACGGAGCTCCAGCCCAGGAAGACCCTGATTTACAGAGTTTCGTGCCCAAGCTGCTAAAATACCTGCATATGGTTTACAGTGGCTGCAATTCTTTGCTAATTTGCTCAGCTCTTCCTTCCCCCCCACCTTCTTTTCTCTTTTTCTTTCTTATTTTTTTTTCCTCCTCCTGCCTTTTTTTTCCTCCTCCTGCCTACTCTGCACCCTCTTTCTGTTCGGCAAACCTCTGTTTGGGGGAGGAAATGCCTGGGGAAGAGGCCGGGAGGAGAGCGGGGTAAGGCGCAGAGGAGCAGCAGAGGGAGGCCGGGCAGGGCCGGCGTGCCGGGGCCGGGGGCCAGCTGGGTGGTCCCGGCCCGCCCGGCCCCCAGCCCCGCCGGAGAGACGGGCAGCGGGAGGGAGGGAGAGAGGGAGGGATGGACGGATGGATGGAGGGATGGGGGAGAGCGGAGGCCCGGCTGTGCCCCGCGCTGGCCGCCCTGGCGTGGGGCTGGCCCCGCTCCCGCCGCTCTCCGCCGGGGCAGCACCGGAGGGCTCGGGCTGCCCGTTCACGGCGTGCGGGGGCACAGGGCCCCCTCCGACGGAGAAACCGGGAGCAAACTCTCCTGGCTGGGAAAGGCTCGGAGTGAACATGACGGACGCAGTGGAGAGGCAGGGGATGTCTGAGGGGGGCACGATTCCCACCTTGCCTCCACCCTTGACAGAGCTCCGCACCTCCTATTCCCGCCGTCTGGGAGCGGCCACAAGCCTTAATACACACACCGTGATATACCATAACCCATAACACACTGATCCGCCGTTTCTCAGTCTTGTATTACATTTAAACGGGGAAAGACCAAATCCGCCGTGCCCACAGCTGCCTCTCCCCGCTCCCACCGGAGATCCCCGGCTGGCTGTCCCAGGCCCGGCTGGCTGTCCCGGGGCCCAGCTGGCTGTCCCGGGGCCCGGCTGGCTGTCCCGGGGCCCGGCTCGATGTCCCGGGCCCGGCTCGCTGTCCCGGGCCCGGCTGGCTGTCCTGGGGCCCGGCTGCTGTCCTGGGGCCTGCTCGCTGTCCCGGGCCCGGCTCGCTGTCCCGGGGCCCGGGTCGGTGTCCCGGGTCCCGGCTCGCTCCGCTGTTCCTCCGCTGTCCCGGGGCCGTGTCGGTGCCGCCGGTGGCCGGGCTGCCCCACCTAGAGGCGGCCAGGCCGCACTGCCCGGCCCGGGCTGCCCTCGGGGCCGCGCTCGGCGGGGACAGCGGGGCTGGGCCGAACACCCGGGTGCCAAGGCACGGCCCCGCTGCCCGGTGTGCAGTGACAAACCACCACGGGAGCGGGACAGCGGAGGGGAGCCTGCCTGGCTGCCGTGTGAGGCGGCTTTTCCCAGCCACCTGGGCCGTTCTGAGCCAGGTGAGAGGCAGCGCTCTCACAGAAACACTGCATATGACATGTGGGGTGATGAAATGGGGAAAGATGTTCTGCTTATAAAAGCCTTTTTAGCACATGTGAAAGCAAAAGGAAAGGTGGCTGCAAAACCTTAAAAAATCCTTTGTAAAGAGCACAGATTTCTCCATAATATATAACGTTGTATAAAAAGACCCAGATGATCCCTGGCTGGGAGTACAGTGCACTGGGAAAAGGAAACATTAGAGCTTTTCCTTCAGGGTAGGATTTGCCCAGTATGGGAAAATAATTAGTGGTGTAATCTCCATGTGCCAGTTTTGGGGCAGAGCCAAGCTAGCACAGCACCACTTCTGCCTTCCAAGCTCTTCTCAGCTCTGAGGCAGGCCAAGGAGCTTCATGGCCAGGGGCTACCACACACTGCAGCCCTCTTGTAGCACCTCCCAGAGCCTGCATGGTGGTATGGTGGTAGCTATTACTTTTGCCATACCTTATTAGAGGTTATTTTTTTCTGGACACAAGCTGTCTCCCAAACTAGTTTTCCTCCCAATATACTCAGGGCAATGCAAATCCTTGCTGAGTCTCCTGCTGGGTCTTTCAGGGACTTAGATGGAAGATGGCAGTGGTACAAACAGTGCTTCCTTCTGTAAGGAATTTGAATCCCTTGTTGGTAATGGGAAAGATTTCTTTCATGGCTTTTACCTCAGCTGTGCTGCTCTCTGACTGTGCAACAAAGACACGCAAACATATCCTGGACAATTTGCTGGTTTTGCAGGAAAATCTTATGTCATCTGCTTTTGAACAGGCTTTGACTCTATTTCTTGAATCATAACAATTTATTTCCAACAAATGTAAATGTAACTACACAGTAGGTGACAGCTGTACATCTCTAAACCACTCTCCTGTCAAGGTTTCTCCATGTATTTCATGAGGGATCTCATATAAGTGACTGCTGCAACACTCAGTCTTCAAATTGCTTTGTGCAGTTGACATCAGGATCCTGTGTTGTTGCTGAGATGTCAACTGTAGGATGCTCCAGACTTGAGTGAGAGAAGGATTTACCTTCCACAATTAAGAAAAAAATGTGAATGATTTTTATAATTCATCTGAATTTGTGCAAATATAATGCTGACAATGAGAACTTTATTCTCACTAATGTGACAACCTTTTAACAAATTAGCTCAGTAGGTTTTAATAGCTGCTTTACAATCCCTTTCATTCCTTATATGGGGAAAAGCCCATGTCCTTTAGGGCTGGGAGGCTCAAACAAAAACACTTCTACAAGAGTTTACAACAAAGCTGAAAAGAATGCTTGAATTTTGCTGGTTGCATATATACAGGGACACAATTTCTCCCAGTTTTATTGCTCAGAGATGCTCTTTCTGGGAAAACCAACCCAAATCTCCCTCTTGTTGCTTCACCTTTACACTAACAAGTGAAGCCTTGGCATGCAGAGTACCAAGCATGAAAATAAACCCACCAACATTTCATTTCACTGGGTGGCAGTTTCTCCTGAATTAT